ATATCTCTAAAACTATGTTATAAAGGATGTTGAAGGTATGCCAGATCCTTTTTCTAGTAATGAAGCTCTTATTTTTTAATGGAATCTAAAATCCCTGTTTTGGGGCTGAGGATTTAGCTCAGTAGCACCATGCCTGCCTTGCAAATGCAAATGCAAGGTCCTGAATTTGACCCCCAGTACCAAAAACAAAAACAAAAAAGAGAATAAAGATCCCAGTTTTGGCTTGAATTCCTTTTGTGTGTATGTGTGTTGTGTTATCTCTGTGGTAATTTGTTCAATCAAAATTATAAAACTTGTTTGTAACTTAGATTTTGAGTATTTTAAGGTAAATTTGTTTATAATGAGAATTTTGTATATGGGTTGGACAGTCATTTCTGGGGGTTTCATTTTTAATTGCCTTTCATAACTATTAAGCCATTGCAGATCAGGTAACTTTATTTTTTTCTTATTCAGGTGAATGCTTAAAGGATTTTTACCCACAAATTGAATTTGAGATCCTTTTCATTAGAGTCTTCAGGGTCCTTTTTTCCTCTGAGACAAGGGCTCCCTGTGTAGTGCAGACTGGGCTTGAACTCAGTATGTAGCCCAGGCTGGTCTGGAACTTGTGATTCTCGTGCCTCAGCCTCCCGAGTGCTGAAATTACAGGTATGCGCCACCAAGCCCAGTGAGTCTTATGTGCTTTCAATGTCCTACTCTTAAATTATCCTGAAAGCCACAGTTTATTACTCATGGTATTTGCTATCATAATTAGGTATTTGTAACCTCTATGTAATCTTTCAAGAGTGTCTTATCCCTTGAAGGAACAGTGCCAGTGCCCTAAATATAGAGGTACTGTCAATGTTTTATTTTTTAAAAATTATTTCCCATGTCAGCATTTGGAAACTTGTTCTTACAAGCGTGAAGGTTGAGTAATGTCTTTATTAAGGCCAAATTTAAGTTTTATATCCAACTTGCTAGATCCAAAACAATTTTTAAAAAATTTGTATTATTCCATGTTTTCAGTACATAATGATTACATTCATCATGAGGAGTTGGTACGTGCATGTAACACATCTTAATTCTTTTTATTTCCCCCTCCTCTCTGTCCAAAAATAATGTTTAAAAGTCATAGACTCATTCATGTCTTTAGCTCATTTGAGTGTGTTGTTTCCTTTGCCTTGGATTTGACTCTTTTGGATGTGTTTATTTTGGACAGTGAAAGAGCTTAGACATTAAGATGTGTAAGATACGTAATGAACAGCTGTGCGTTCACCTCTAGCCCTCAGTCATAAAATGTCAGGGATGTTATTCATCCTGTACTCCTGCCTTCCTCAGCCCCAGAAGGATTTGGTGTATATATTTTCTCGAGTTTCATTTTCATATTTTTTTCAAATTACACAATCCATGGATTCTAAAAATGTACTTCAGATTACCCATCTAATAGTATACCACTGTTTATAGTTGGCATATTCAGATGCACCTAGAGTTGGGTGTAATGGTGCATACCTGTAATGTCAGCGGAGGCAGGAGGATTGAAAGTTGAAGGCCTGGGTGGCCTTGGCAGTTTAAGGGCCCCCTTTCCCCCCACCAAAAGCTCAGTGATAGTGCGTCCTGGGCTCCATCCCCAGCATTTCAAGAAAACAAGTTACCTGCACATGTAAATATGTGCTAATAGGAACGACTGAGTTTTCTACCTAAAAGATGTTACTGTATGCATTGTTAAATTCTAGTCATCCCTCCTTCACAGAACCTCAGGAACACGCAGCTGCACAAGAAGGTAGGCACATAGGTATAGTTTTGCTGGCATAATAAGCAGTTTGGAAATAACTGCTTAGAAATGTGGAAGTGTGTCAAGGAGAGTAGCTTATGAGAGTAGCTTACCACAAGCTTAGTGGTCAAGTGAACAATTTGGAAGTGACCTAAGTGTGTCCATAAGTGAGGAATGCTTGTAGGATACATGGGCCTTGTAGCAGTACTCACCGAGGGAGTAAGGTGTGACGCCTCGAGGGGGCGCGGTTTGCAGGGCCTCCTGTCTGCAGTGCTGTGTGCTTTGCAGTACGGACTCAGCCATTTCCAATTAGCTGTTCGAGTTAGCTGTCTTTAGTGGCTTTCAGGTGTAGTTGAAGACTGTCTCTTGTTGGAGTGTTTTTTATTTCATGGAGGTATGCCCCATGGAGCCTGCTGAGGTCAGTTAGCCGGTGGTAATTGCCAAAACATGATTCCACCTTAGACTCTTTCTGGAGCTAAGCATTATAGGAGCTGGAAAACTAAGCAGATTGCATATTGTAGCAAAAGAAGTCAATCTCCCTTTTCAAATATAACCAGGTACAAGGAATATTGAAGAAGACGGACTTATTAGTGCCTCTTGGGAAGGTCACCAGGTGACCAAATTATTTTAATGGAATGGGACAGATGGGAGGCAGGGCGGTGGAGATGTGAACAGTTGGGACTGTGGAGTTGGTTTCTCAAACCAGTGTGTGTGTGTCCTTGCTAAAACCGAGGAACAGGATGGAATCTGGGAGTGAACGTGGACTCTAGATGAGGCTGCTTGTTTGCATTTCTCCGTGGAGGGAACCCTGTGAGCAAGGTCAGTGTACGGAAGTATCAGATAGGCAGCTCGTGGCTCCGGGTGGCTGGAGCACTGCGTGTGTATGGGGTAGCTGGTTGGGGGTGCAGCCAGCAGGAGCTGGCAGAAGGAAGCCCACTTTGGCGGGCGTACTGAAGCTGGGTGCGAGCAGGCCTTGCCCCTCCATCCCTAAAGCCCTGTAGCACTGTACTGCCTTTGCCCTGTAAATGCAGCTCCTGCCGCCTCCCCTCATCCCTTTTGGGGAGGCTGCCCTTCTGAATCTCCCATACTTTATAAGAGAATTCTGGAGCTGTTTCTACACCTTTCTGTGAGCCGATGGCAGAGGCAAACTAATAAATTCTGATTAGTGACGTGGACTTTGTGTTGCTGACTCCTGAGTAGCTGGGGTGACCTTACGTTAGACATTGGCTTGCATGTGAGATGCTCAAGTCTACTCTTTTGAAAAACTGGCGTACAGAGTACATCTTTCATAGCTGGCCTTTGATGCGCTCGTGAACCCACAGGTAGGTAACTGGAGGGTCACAGGCCTGAGTGACGCAGTGTGAGGATGAAGCCGTGGGTGCCTGAGCCTGCGCCTTCCCAGCCTCCTCTTTTCTCTGTCCTGGTGACTGCTTCATGGTGGGTCACGTGTAGAGTAAGTGGCCCACATGGACTTCAAAGGGCCACAGAGACTTTGAGAGTGGTGAGTCATTGGTTGACAGGTGTCATTGGGGACATTGTGTGGTAGAGGTCAGACTGATTTTCTGAGTCTCTGAGGTTCTGATCCCTGTAGGTAAAATGGATATGGCCTTTATAGCCAGACTGAATTGGAGTTGCTTCCTTCCCCCAACCCTAACATTGACAACTTTTGTCATTGACCAAGTTACTTTTTTGTCCTTAATATGGGAATAATGGTACTTAATAGGATTTTTCTGGGGAATTTTCAAAATAACACACTTAAAGTACTTAGTATAATGCCTGATACTTAGGTCATTGGGCAATCTATGTTTTATTCCATCTTTCTCCCCTTAAAGTAGAAATATTCTCTCCCTGTTTTTTTTTTTTTTTTTTTTTTTT